ATATTAAGTATTTGGGAAGGAGAGCTGAGGAAGACGCAGCTTTGTAAAATATTCCTTTTGTACTTTTGTATGACAAGTGACAAAAATGGGGAAAATAATGTAATTACAGTGTGTTCTAAATTAAACTAGCAAGTCAACAAATAAGCAGCTTTACTTCTGTCCAGATTCAAGAGAAGAGGAATTAGACTCCACCTATTGGTGGGGAAGTAGCAAGGTCATAATGTAAAAGGCCATGTGGAATGGGAGATATTTTTGTGGGTATCTTCAGAAAATACAGTCTACCACAACCTGTATGCAAAAAACTATAAATATTCCAGAATATTAAAGAAGATAAATACAAATGCAAGAATATCCCATATTCACAGGTAGGAAAACTAGATATTGTAAAGATGTCAATTTCCTCTACCAAGGCAACTCCCAACTTCCCAACAAGACTGTGTATGGACTTTAAAAAGCTGATTCTAAATTTCATGTGGAGGAATAAAGAGCCAAGTATAGCCAAAACACTCCTGAAAAGGAAGCATACTGTGGAAGTATTGTACAGATATCAAGCTTTATCTTAAAACTGTCATAATTAAGATAGTATGTGGAATTTGGTGCAGAATAGACTGACAAATGGAATAGAAAATAAAGATCAGAGACATATGGAATTACATGCAACTCTGGAATTATAATATGCCTCAGAAGTAGTACCACAGAAATCAGGTAATAGTGACATACAAGTGATTTTTCAAGATGGAATAAAACAAAATTTTATTGATGTCTATCTCATACCACCAATTCCAGATGGATTAAAGACTTGAATGTTAAAAGCAAAATATTTAAAACACTCAATTAAATATATAAAGAAATATCTTCTTGAATCCTCCAAGAGAGGATTTCTTGAACAAGCCACCAAAGTAGGAACCATAAAAGATTGATAATTTAAACTATTTTTAAATTGAGAACTTCTTTTTATCAAGACACCATAATGAATGTGACAATATAGCTCTTACTATGTAAATCTAATGATAAATCTAGAAAATCTGTGATAATTGTTGATGAGATTATTTGTCCCAAAGTAACTTTTACACTAACTAGCAAAGTAGAAATCTATACACAAAATTCAGAGCAGATATAAATAAAACTCACCAAATACCTATATCTAACAATAGCTTCGATCTTACTACTCTAATGGCACCCATAAATCTTTTATGCCAGATGGAGGTCAATACAGTAAATATACATGCAAATTTTAAAAATCAGTAAACAAATACTTTGACCACAGCCAATGTCTCAACCAAATCATGTGATTTTTAAATGATAGATTAAATAGTGAAGATGGTAAGAAATCTAAGTCATAATAATCTCATTAAATCATTAACATGCTCAGTAGCATTCAATAGACACCAAATCTTGCTGGGCACCAGGTGCTGCAGAATATACAAATAGTGGAGACATAGTCTCTACTTGTTAGGCCTATAATCTAGTTAGCAAGCATTAAATACAGCTATAGAGAGATAAGTCAAATTTCAATCTAAATCTCTAATCAATCTGTTTTCCTTCATCTCCACTATCTCTAAGCTACTAACATCTATTTCTTGGACCTCTGTAACCCTTCCTAATGATCTCTTGAATTCATTTCATTTTATCACAATTTAATCACTATACTGCAGCTATAATAACCTTTCTGAATTCAAGAGGACCACAGATGTATTCTTTGGAGCAACTGACTCTAGATTCAGAAACACCAGGCACAGGGCTAAAAAGCCTGTACTGAAGAAAGCCCAAAAGTCTTTATCTAATCTTCCTCTATAACTTTGTAAGATGAGCACCTACCTGCCGTAGGGGGAAAATGAGAATTCTTCTTCAGAAAACTAAATAAGAACAACCTCCATATACTGATATTTGGAGGTATCCCTAAGGAAAATGCCAGTTTGCCCAAGCACCCTTAAGTGAAGTCCACCAGAAGACAAGCAATCTAGTTTTTAATATCTCAGAAAAACAAGCAAACAAAAAAACCTATTACACCCATAGACAAAATGCTATCAAGAAAGGAAAAGAGAACAAGAAAAAGCTCTTGTAAACTAAATATCATAATAGCAGAAAAAAAGAATTCAAAGGAAAAAGTTACAGAGAAAGCTGAGGAAATCTTTCAGAAAATAGAGTGAAAATCAGACAAGCAACCCAAGAGTTCCAACACCCAACAGAACAGGGACTGCCAAATTTTTTCTGCAAAGAATCAGAGAGTAGATGGCTTAGGCTTCGTAGTCCATACAGTCTCTGTTGCAACTGCTTAACTCTGCTGTTACAGTGTGAAAGCAGCCAAAGAAATGTGTAAGCAAACGGGATGGACAGAGGCCAGACATAGCCTCTGAATCAGTTTGCTGACCTTTAGAATTAAAGAAAAAAAAAAAAAAAAAGCAAAATGAGAAGACACAGAAGAATAAATGACCAAAGAAAAATCTAAGAAAATTACCCAGAACTAAAGAACATGAATTTTTAGAAAGAAACAGTCCAACACAATGACATCATCATCAAATTTCAGAATACCAGGGATGAACTAATCACAAAAGCTCCCAAAGAGGGAAAAAACAAAACAAACAAAACCAGGACCTATACAAAGACTGGGAAATCAGCTGGGAGTGGTAGGTCATGCTTGCAATCCCAGCACTTTGGGAGGCTGAGGTGGGCGGATCACAAGGTCAAGAGATTGAGACCATTCTGGCCAACACGGTGAAACCCCGTCTCTACTAAAAATACAAAAATTAGCTGGGTGTGGTGGCATGCACCTGTAGTCCCAGCTACTCAGGAGGCTGAGGCAGGAGAATCGCTTGAACCCAGGAGGTGGAGATTGCAGTGAGCGGAGATTGTGTCATTGCACTCCAGCCTGGGCGACAGAGTGAGACTCCATCTCAAAAAACAAAAAACAAAACAAAACAAAAAACTGGGAAATGATATCATACTAGCTTTTTTAAGTATAAACAAAAAAAAGATAGAAAGGCTTGAATATTGAAAGAGAATTCCCACTAGAATTCTATATCTAGTGAAATCAGCAATCACATATCAGGAGAAAATAAACCCATTTTTTTAAGAAATACAATTACTGGCCGGGCGCAGTGGCTCAAGCCTGTAATCCCAGCACTTTGGGAGGCCGAGACGGGCGGATCACGAGGTCAGGAGATCAAGACCATCCTGGCTAACCCGGTGAAACCCCGTTTCTAGTAAAAAATACAAAAAAATAGCTGGGCGAGGTGGTGAGCGTCTGTAGTCCCAGCTACTCGGGAGGCTGAGGCAGGAGAATGGCGTGAACCCGGGAGGCGGAGCTTGCAGTGAGCCGAGATCCGGCCACTGTACTCCAGCCTGGGCGACAGAGCGAGACTCTGTCTCAAAAAAAAAAAAAAAAAAAAAAGAAATACAATTACTTATATTTATCTCCAAAGTACCCTTAATTAGAGGGCTACTGCAAGACTACTCCAATAAAACAACAGAATAAACCAAAAATGAGGAGGGCATAATGCCTAGGAAAATAGAGATGTAAACACAGAAAAGCAGCCAAGGAAAGTCCCAGAACAGGAGTTGCACAACAAGTCTTGAAAGTCCACATAGGAAGTGGGGGGAAGAAGAGTTCAGAAGAAAATCTTTAAAATAAAGAATGGAACTGATATATTTGAGCATATAAGAAATATTATTGGCCAAGTGCGGTAGCTCATGGCTGTAATCCCAGCACTATGGGAGGCCAAGGCAGGCAGATCACAAGGTCAAAAGTTTGAGGACAGACTGGCCAATATGGTGAGACCCTATCTCAACTAAAAATACAAAAATTAGCCAGGCGTGGTAGGCGCCTGTAGTCCCAGATACTCAGGAGGCTGAGGCAGGAGAACTGCTTGAACCCAGGAGGCACAGGTTGCAGTGAGCCGAGATTGCACTATTGCACTCCAGCCGTGGCAACAGAGTGAGACTCTGTCCCAAAAAAAAAAAAAAAAAACGGAAAGAAAAAGAAATAATACTGATAGTATGTGACACAGATGTGGAACATTTAGAGAAAATTAACCGCAGATACACAGAAAGCCAGGCAACTAAAAAATGAGGCAATTATTAACTTTTTAAAAAGTAAAAGGTGGTACTGTATTTCACTATTTGACTTATCAGAAAACAGTATCTCCATAATCCATATGATGAGTTTATATTATATTAATTTAACCAAAAATTGTAATATATGTAATTATATAGGGGAAGGGAAGTAGGAGAGCAAGGTGGGAAGCTAGAGCTTCACCTACCATAAGAAAAAAAAATCTAAACCTGATTAATCAAGAAATATCAGTCTACACATGTTATTTAGTAATAAAGAGATAAATTTCAGGAAGAAAGGCCAAAAGGATTAACAATGGTTTCTTCCAAGTAGGAGGACTTGTAGGTGGAGAATATAGGATATTATAAGCCATCTATCTGTATTTGGCTTTTAAAACCATGTACACATATTATTTTTTAAAAAGTAAATAACTTGCAAAGAATATTTGCAATACTAATTACAGACAGAAGATCAATATCTTTCAAATTATAAGGAGCTCTCACAAAAGACATCAACATAATATAATATATACAAATATATTAACAGGCAATTAACAAGAAAAAAATTACTGTCCAGGCAGCGTGAAAAAAAGTTCACCCTTCAAAGCATTTACAAATCCAGATTAAAATAACAAAGTGGCACAATTTTAATCTATCAATTAGCAAAAATTTAAGAAATGAGTAATACCAATGTTAAAGGATTTTTAAAAATGCATTGCTTGTGAGAGTGTAAGTCTGTGTATCATTTCTGGAGGAAAATTTGGTAATAAAACAAAACTTTAAAAATATGTATGGCATGTGATTCAGCAATTTCTGCTAAAAATGTATCCTTAAGGAAATAGTAACAAATGTATATAAAAGGGTTCAGTTGCAAAGGTAATATTTTAGCAAAATTGTCTTAAGACTGTCTTTTTCATACTGATTTAGCAGAAAAAATATAATAGCCTTACCTGAACTGTACGTCCTGCATTGATATGCTCTTCATGCAACTTGTCCCAGATTCTACACCTTTGATACTATACAAAAGAGACGGGGGAGGTATTACATTTTTCATCACTAAAGGATTATCCCATTACCACAAAAATTCCCACTCACCTACCCAAACTTAAACATATGAACTAGAGAAGACAGTGATTTAGTAGTGGTAATTAATTTTCCAAACACATACAAGTAGGAAATTATTAAGAATACTGCATACAAAATTATGTAAATCATAAAATAAACAAAAAACTCCCACTAATCAGGTTATTTTATTTTACTGAAAAAGAGTATGTATTTTGTCTATGTTGCAAACACTCCTGAAATGGAAAATATAAAGAATGAGAATGTAAAATAATATTAAAAATAAAAAGAACAGTGTTCATAAGATATTCTTATTGTATATGAAAAATTGTACATGTTTGTCAATGATAGTGTAAAGTATTGAAAACTAAAAATCTGAATTTTAAAAATGTAACACTGAAACCACAGACTACAGAGTAAATGAAAAATGAGACTGAACTTTTAATATATGTTTTAATTTTTACCAAGGCAATTGTTACCTTTCAGAGTATCATCCAAAAAGAATTGGGAACAGAATCGTGGGAATTTTTTCATTTGATAGGAACCATAGGAATATGTGATAACATTATAGCCGAATATTTATATAGAATATAAATATCAACACCAAATATCATATATTATTTTTATTCAAAATTTAAAAATCAAATAATTAAAATGTTAGCAGATGTGACCAGCTACATTAAACACATTTTTGGTACTTTATACATCCCCAAAAAATCAACCTAGAAATAATTTTAAAGGACAGAAATATAAAAATGCCCTCATATATGCATAGAAAACATAGATTATAAGAGTAGAGCACTAAAAAAATTTCTAGGGCATTTTTATATTCCTTGTTCTGCACAATTCTGAAAATTTGGTAAAGAATGATGCAGCAAAAACTTTTGATACTCCTAAAATTTTTACATCATCTAAGAACTAAACAATAACTATTAAGCTTAAAACAATTAGACCAGCCAGGCGCAGTGGCTCACGCCTGTAATCCCAGCACTTTGGGAGGCTGAGGTGGGCGCATCACCTGAGGTCAGAAGTTTGAGACCAGCCTGGCCAACATAGTGAAACTCTGTCTCTACTAAAAGTACAAAAAAATTAGCTGGGCGTGGTGGCAGGTGCCTGTAATCCCAACTACTTGTGAGGCAGAGGCAGGAGATCACTTGAACCCGGGAGGTGGAGGTTGCAGTGAGCTGAGATTGTGCTACTGCACTCCAGCCTGGGCAACAGAGTGAGACTCCTTCTCAAAAAAAAAAAAACCAATCAGACCATATTGAACATGTATTTACCAAACATAAATTTAAAATCACTACCAAAACACTTTCATTTATAAGAAAAATTTAATTGATGCCATCAGATCCAGTGTGAAAGCTCTTTTAGGCAGTGTTATAACAGTAATAAAAGTTTAAGAAAGGAAGCCAGAGGTTCATGTTTGAAAATAAACCACTTTTAAATTTATTGCCCACTACTAATCTGTTGTGATGTTTTAAGAAAAATTAACACTAAGGAAACAGAGTTGAGAATTTGTAGATGTCAAGGCTATCAGAATTCATGGATCAGAGAATACCAGAGAGGAGAGGGCTGCGTGGTGAAGGGCTAGTTGCACTGAGAGGAGAGGAATACGCTGAGAGAGAATGCTAGAGATCTGCAGGGTTTTCCTTTTGAGTCTTCAGCAAAGGACTCCTCCACACATGCATGTGAGAGAAGTACCCGTGGTCAGAAAAAGAACAGGTAGAATAATTCCCGGAGATCACACAAGGCTAGAAATGGTTCATGTGACCATAAGTCAGAGTGGAAAAACCTTGGAATACACTGGGTATCAGCTAGAATATTCCAAAGTATTGCTCTTTGTAGGAAAAAATTAGCCCTGAACCAAAGGCTGTTCTGGTCCTAAGCAAGAAAGATTAAAAGAAAGACTCAAGGCCAGACACGGTGGCTCACGCCTGCAATCCCAGCACTTTGGGAGCCGAGGCGGGCGGATCACGAGGTCAGGAGATCGAGACCATCCTGGCTAACACGGTGAAACCCCGTCTCTACTAAAAATACAAAAAATTAGCTGGGCGTGGTGGTGGGCGCCTGTAGTCCCAGCTACTCGGGAGGCTGAGGCAGGAGAATGGCGTGAACCCAGGAGGCGAAGCTTGCAGTGAGCCGAGATTGTTTAACTGCACTCTGGCCTGGGCAACAGAGTGAGACTCCATCAGAAAAAAGAAAGACTCAAAAGGATCAAACTGTTCCCAACTAAACTGTGTTTCAGAATAAAGCTAAAAAAATTTAAAGAAATTTAAAAATATTCAGTACCCAATAAAGTAAATTTCACAATGTCTGGTATCCAAAAGATAATTGCCATGCATGCAAAAAAGCAGAATAATATGATTTGCAATGAGATAAACCAATCAACAGAAATAGACCCAGATATGATAGGAATAATGGAATTAATGAGGATATTAAGAACAGTTATTATTATGTGTTCCATGTATTCAAGAAGGTAGAAGAAAATATAAGCACATTAGAAGAAAAGACATAAAAGATATTTTAAAATATTAAATTAATAGAATTTAAAAAGAGTGTCTGAAATTAAAATATGCACTAGATGGGATTAATAGCAGATAAGACAATGCAGAAGAAAAGATTAGTAAACCTATGGAAATAGCAGTAGAAACTATCCAAAATGAAACACACAGAGAAAAATAAGTTGAAAATAAATTAACCAAGATCAACAAGTCATGGGCCAAATGAAAACAATATAAAATACATGTAACTGGACTCCATGAGAGAAAAATAATTTGAAAAACTTAATGGCCAAAGATTTTCTAAATTTGAGAAAAATGATAAAACCATAGATCCAAGAAGTTCAAAGGACAAGAAAAATGAAGAAAGCTATACTAATGTATATTACAGTAAAATTACTTAAAATAAATAAAGAAAAAAATCTTAAAAACAGGAAGAAAAAAGACACATGAAGTACCAAGAAACAAAGATAAGAATGACAGAAGACTTCTTGTGAGAAACAATCCAAGCCAGAAGACAGTGGACAACATGTTGGAAGTATTTGAAAACGACAGAAAATGCAACCTAAAATTCTATCCCCAGAGAAAGTTTTTTTTTTAAATAAGGCAAAACAAAGATATTTTTAAACATAAAAAAGCTGATAGAATCCATCACCAGCAGAAAGGTGTGCTAGAAGAAATGTTTAAAGAAGTACTTCAAGTTGATAGAAAAGGGATACCTGACAGAAACCGGGTTCTACACAAACGAATGAAGAGCATTGAAAATGGCACGTACAGATATATATGTAAATATAAATATTTTTTCTTATTTTTACAATCTCTTTCAAAAATAACACAATTTAAAGCAAAAATAATGAAAACAAATGGGGTTGATAACATATGCAGAAGTAAAATGTATAGCAACCATAGTAAAAAGACCCTAAGAGAGGACCTGGAAGTATACTGTTAAAAGGTTCTTATATGTGAAGTGAATTATATAACATTACTTGAAGAGAGACTGTGATGTTAAAGATATATACTCTGAACCATAAAGCAACCACTAAAAAAATAAAAAATAAAAAACCAAGACGTATAATAAGCCAGCAAAAGAAAAAAGATGGAATCATAAAAAATATTTAATTAAACCAAAAGAAAGAGGGAAAACAGATGGACAAATAGACAAAAATAGCAAGATGGTAGATTTAAAGACAATCATTTGACAAAATTGAACATTTATTCATTATAAAAACTCTCAGCAAACTAAAAAATAGAAATTAACTTTCTCAACCTGATAGCAGGAATCTACAAAACACCTACATTTAACATCATACTTAAGTGGTGAAAGACCATTCTCTAACATTGGGAAGAAGGTAAGGATGTCTGATCTCACCACTCTTACTCAGCTTCATACTGGAGGCCCTAGCCAGGGCAATAAGATTAAAAAAGGAAGGAAAGAAGGGAGAGAGGGTGGGTGAGGCAAAGACTAGAAAAAAATAAAATTGTCTTCACAGATTACTTGATTGTCTACATAGAAAATATCAAAGAATCTACAGAAAGCTACCTAACATTAACAGGTGGCCCAATGATTGCAGGCCATAAACTGAGAATTACTTGTATCTTGAAGATAAATAATATCTACCCCATAGGGTAGTTAAGAGTAACTCACCTCACTCTGCTTACCAAATATCAAAAATACAAAACCAATAACACAAAGGATATATCTCAGAAACGTTTTGAATCTAATGCATTAGAAACTATTAACTGATGGTGTCTGTGATATTATGATTATATAAATATTACATATATATAATATATATACATTGGTCTTTGTCCACAGTTCCTTGACCATAACTCCCATGGCCCTTGTTAGTCTTTTGTTACAATGCTGGGGCACTTTCAGTGTCCAAAGCAGACCTCAGGAAACAGAACCTCTCTCTGTCCTCCTGCCCTCCGAACCTGCCAACGGCAGGACTCCAAACCCATTGTGGGTCATAAGATCCTCATTCCAGAAGGGGTCCTGCCCCATACCCTGGAGGAAGACATGATACATGGAGAGGCCAATAAGAATCTGAATAGACAGGCCTTGTTGGGGTTTCTCCACTCAGTCTGTTACTATTAGACCATACCTGTTTTGTCCAATCACATTTTGACATGGTTGTCCATGCTTCCATCATGCCTATCCAATGAAGTCTCCATAAGAGGCCCAAGAGGACAGAATTTGGAGAGCTTCCAGAGAGCTGATCATATGGAGGTTCCTGAAGGGTGGTGTCTCCAAGGAGGGCATGGAAGCTCTGCACTCATTTCCTCATAGCTCACCTTATGCATCTCTTCAGCTGTATCCCTTGTAATATCCTTTATAAAGAACTGGTAAATTGTCTCCCTGAGTTCTGTGAGCCATTCCAGCAAATTAATCGAGCCCAAAAAGGGAGCTGTGGGAACTCCAACTTGAAGCTGGTTGGTCAGAAGTTTCAAGGGCC